ATTTCCCGTGTTCTCATAGTTGGATACTGCACAAACTTGCATTTTTCTCCTAATTCTCTCAATTTGTCAAACCTTTGAAATTGATATCATGTACATACGTCCGTGTACTGTCTGTTCCCGCTTTTTCCATCAATTTATTTGTGGTTATGTCTAATTGTCAGTGCTTGTCATAGTGTTCGTACTCTAATATACAAAAAACGTCAAGACAGCAGTGTCAAGTTAGTACATTTAGGAACTCTAGTTCCAGGTATACATAGGTATAATTATTGTCCTGAATAACTTGTGAAAAGTCACTGAGGTAGGCAGATTTTGGCAGCAATTTGAACGTCACAAATCTTGCTCCGAAGTGGTTTTTCATGGTTTTCTTGATTCGTTTTGATTTTACATCAACATGAAGATACCACAAGCAAAATGTTCTTGGCTCGTTTCGTTTTTGTGATACATGGAAAAATTGAAGTATGGGCGAGTTGACTGATAATAAATTATTGATATTCAAATATTCCCCAGTGTCGTTTGGAACCTGAATTAGTTTTTGCATCGCTTCTCACGCTTTTTTCATGTGAACTGATTTCGATTAAGAAATAGAATATAATTCCCCCATATTGGATTAACATTCATTGAACGATATGATGAATATCCCTGGCTTCCAATACACCTCCCAAATATCAAACCCCACTCCAGTAATGGCTTTGGTCTCCTCGTATATCATCCCCTTCGAAATCATTCCTGAAGCTGCTACAGGTTCTCCTGCACTGCGTTTTCTCACCATGCTCACGGTTTGAGATGGATTATCATAAAAATGCTGTATAAATACAGATGAAGGCCCCAGCTCACTAGAAACGTCAATTTTCTTCATGGACTTTGAAAGATGACTAATAAAGACATATATAATCAACCATGGACGTATAAACAAACGTCCATGTAATCAACTAACAAATTCTAATACTGCAATCCAATCGTCAGAGGAAGACTAATTATACAAAAATAACAAGAAATGTTGTAGTTTGAATTCTGCATTGTTTGCTTCCTTCAACTTTATGGAAGAACAAAAATTCCTACATCAATATAAAATCCATTTAGTTTATGACTATCTTATTCAATCTAATTCAACTCCCCTATCTTATGAATTCTGTATACCTTGTTGTAACTTGACAATGTTATAGATGTTGCGGAGATAGCTTCGTGGTTCATCTCTTCTTTCTTGATTGGGTAACCGATTTCGATTAATAAAAAGAGCAAAGATACTCTATATTGGATTTAATATGAAAAGCCAAGTTTCACGATATCAAGCACTTACATTTTCATTGTAGAATAAGATAAAGCACGATTAACATCCTCGCACATACTTCATGGTATCTCCGGCACAATGGTTCCAATATACCTCCCAAGCATCATACCCCACTCCACTGATAGCCTTGGTCTCCTCATAAATCTGCAGGGCGCAAGCTATGTCATCCCCCAGGAAATCATCCCTGAAGCTGCTGCAGGTCCTTCTGCACTGCCTCCCCGGATAGTCGAAGGGTGTGCACCACAGCTTCTCCCCTATCTGGAACGCTCCGTGTCTGCCCAGTTCATAGTCCAGTTTTCCTGTGTCGAAGCTGGATTCCCAGTTGGCTATGCAGGTCAGAGTGGGGACTTGCCATTCGGGCACGTAGTGCTTCCGAAGCTGATGGACGAACTGGCATCTGGAGAATACCATAGCTTCGCAGGAGTTGAAGAAGAGGAGGAGGCAGCAGAGGGCGATGGTACTTTTGCGATGCATTGTCATTCGAGGCGTAGTAAAACACTGTGGAAGTGTTTGGTTCGAATATGGGGTTAGGTTTGGAGTGATATCTCGATTTCCTGTTGTGGTTTTTGGTTATGCATGGATGATAAGATTTTTCAACATCGAATGGAGAGATTGTTTACTTTATTTTGTATAGTGTTAGTTGGGAGGAGAACATGACTGTATATTCTTCACGTTAGAATAATCAGAACAATTCAAATGTTGGTATTCGATTTTTCGAGTTGAACGCTATGAACGATATACTTTCTTTGTGATCACAGAGCCAATGTTTCAGTATAATTGGGTGGAAATCGTTAGTGTACTTTTAGTTTCATCGAATTATTCTCATTATCTAGGCTGAGAGACTTGTTTAATTCCTGAATAAACAGTTTCTCTCTGTCTCTTTTTCATAATCATTAGGGTTGTTTGCTTCCTTCCTAAGATGATTTGGTCATTTTTCTTGCTTTTCATTCACATGATTCCTCCAAAATTTGATTGATATCGTGATATCATGATCGAATTCAAATGTCGAGGTGGATAGAAGCAAGTAATCTGTATTTTCCACATTCCAGTGATATTCGGAGATTCGGAAATATTTTCACTAAAAGATAACAGTTCCTCATTATTTAATGATATTTATCGATTATGAGATATGATAATAGCTGTTGATTTTGCTCATTATGTACATGAAACTCGTCCGCGATATTGGATCCGCCATCTTGAATTCACCAATATTTACGAGAGAATTATAATCTCCGACCTCGAAAACCTTCAGATACCAATTTGGAATTGAATCAGATCGTAATCACAAAACTCGTCCGCCATATTGGATACGCCATCCTAAATTTTCAGATTTGAACGAAAGAATCATAATCTCCGATTCCGAAAACCCCCAGATAAAAATTTTGGATAGATTCGGATCATAATTACAAAACTTGTCCGCCATATTGGATCCGCAATCTTGAAATATCAAATTTTGACGAGATAATCATAATCTCCGATCCCGAAAACCCCTAGTTACAAATTTTTAATAGATTCGGATCATAAGAACAGAACTCGTCCGCCATATTGGATCCGCCATCTTGAATTCACCAATTTTGACGAAATAATCATAATCTCATACCTCGAAAACCCTCAGATACCAATTTTGAATAGAATCGGATCAAAATTACAAAACTCGTCCGCCATTTTGTTTTTTGTCTAACAAAAATTCCATGATGCATTGACACCAAATTTTAAATAAATCGGTCTGTTTAAAGTGGGTCAAAATCGGGTCCAAAGGAGCCGGATACATTCAAGCAAGCATACATACACACATATATTCAGGTGAAGCTAATAAAAGTGAATCAAAAATTGAAAAGGAGTCGTGCTTATTTCGATTGCTATATTTTCTTCAATGTTGCCATTCGATAGTTCACAATGAGCCAGCCTCCTTAGGGTGAATTCAATATATGCATTTCTATAACGCCCTATATAACTCAGCATCTTCAGATAATTTCATTCATGTATTCATAATCTGAAGCTTCTGATGAGCTATTCATAAATGCCTCGTATCCAATACTGATTTTCTTCTACAGAACGTGATGGAACACTTCGATTTAAATAACCTAATTTAAAAACAAATTGATCACACAATCTATACATGTGCGGAATACTGATTTGCTATTGCATGTTCGCCTTTATTTGTATTCAAATTAGTTTCATCGATGATGAGACGCTTGACGATATTTTTCATTACGTTCATACGAGGTAATCTAGCGGTAAGTATCATACATTGAGATGTTTGAAGACGAAGCTCAACCATGACTTTTCCTCTGAAAATATCTAGTAACCGAAAAAAATGTGCTGTGCTGGCCTCTACCACAGTTCTGTCAGATTTTGATACACTGTTTCTGAGGAAGAATCAAAATAATACATTATACATCAAGGGACAGAAATACAAGATTGTTCTCAAGGTGCGAGGGAAAAATAGCATTCTGTCCTAAGGTGTATAATATATAGAATAGTATAATAATTGATCAAAGTTTTCTGTCTTCTTCTTCTTCTTCGAAGCACGTAGGCCTCCTTATTCGGGCCCATTGTGCGCCCACATGTTACGACATTCAGCTGGGTATGCCGACTGCCTTGGATAAGTTCAGCAGCTTCCTCAGCTGAATGTCTTTTACGTCCTCTGGCCTCAAAACTATGTTGCCAAGGACAGCCCTCCTCTGATGCGTCAGTGCTGGACACTCAGTGAGGACATGTGATGACGTTTCGTCATCTTCCAGGCACCATCTGCAAAGGGGGTCATCCTTGATCCCAATAAGCTCTATTGAGGTGGTTGTGCCCCGTTCGGAGCCCCACTACCATTTCAAGGTTTCGCCTGTTTAGGAATAAAACCTCTTTTGCGAGCCTTTTCGAAGGTTCCTTCATGTGGAGCTTCGATTGTCTCATTCCTGGTGTGTCCTGCCATATTTTGAGTTTTCTGTCATAATTAGTATTAGTATAGTTTGTGGAATTCGTATCTTGACAACATGCATCTTGTTGACTACCCATGGTGACAGCAAATATCAAACTGAAATTTATGAAAACAGCTTTGGAAATGGTTGACGGTTATGGAACAAGAAATCGAGGGAAAACCCCAAGAAACTATTGATACTGCTTCTGGAGTGATTCTTAACTTGCTAACAGTGAGATCTAGCTGTATGATGCAGCTCATACTCGCTTCAGAGAAGGGTGTTCCGAAAAGGAAGCGCAGAGCTATGCGGGTAATGTAAAGTTGGTATAAACCTCCTAGGGAGAAAATATGTCACATTATCTCCCTAGGGAATAATACGACACTCCTGTCCCTCTTTTGTCACCAGAGAAACTAACTTCAACTCCCGCCGGCTTAAAAAATGTATTTTGCGATTTTTCCCGTCTTGATTTTTCCACTTCCTATATTTATGTCTCATTTGTCTTTCCGAAATATACGCACTAGACAATGGAAAGAGGTATACATTTTCCAGATTCACGTATTATCCAAGATAGTCTAAATCTTGCTCTGAAATTCTACGTTAGTAAAATCTTTCTATTATTTTTATTAATTCAGATGTATTTTCAGGAGAGTTTCGATTTTTTCCCGAAAATAGTGCTTCCTATCAAAATTCAACAAGCATGAATTTCTTGTAGTAATTTGATAAACAGGAAATGTTATGGAAAATCAGAAACATTTATTCGAAAAATGTTTGTTTTATCACGGAATCTACGCCACTGGCCGTTATACTAGGAATTTCTCCACTACTCATTTCCAAAATAACATATACAGGGGAAATCAGAATCACTGGTCCAACTGGTTCAAATGTGGACATTGAATCATTGACCAACATGTGACTCAGATGATTCAGCATTCAACAGTAACAGCAAAATAATCATGCACACGAGTCATTTTCTTATAGTTATATTCATTGGTGGATAGATAGAGATGTCCCCCTGGATGTATAAGGTGTCAATCAAATCAACATTAGTGGTCGCAATCTCGAACATATCCAATAATTCCCCGTCCAACCAGATGATGAAGTTTTCGCTGGACCTGTGAATGGCGATGTTGAAAACAGAAGTAGGTTGTAAATATAATCTTGGTACTATAACAGCATCACGCCACACTTCGTCAATCCTCGAATTCACCAGCACCGAGTGTTTTCCTTGCTTGACATTGAAAATGAAATTGATGTGCAAATGTAAGTTGGGCAACGGCCAAACACGTGAAGTCTCCTGCAAATTCAAGAAAAATCCACAAGGATGCATCTTGATTTTGCCGTTTATCTCGATCTGAAAATCCTTCCTGAAACCTTTAGCAAGGAAAGCTGCCAGAGGAAGGTCCACCTCGCCACCGCTTGCTGCGAATAAGTTCTTCCCCATCGTCAAAACTACTGGAACCACCGTGGGAAACTCTGGAGGATATTCTTCCAGATCTTGGTAGTCCACCTTGAGAACTTTGATGGATCCTAACACTTGAAGAATCTGCAGATGTTCGGGAGAGAAACGAAATACGTATCCACAGAAGTGTTTACCGTCTATGGCTATGAGAAATTCTTTGGTGGTGATCAGGATACTCATTCGGAAAGATTGGTTCCTCGCCAATTGGAATTTCGCAATGGACGTTACTTCTGGTACTTGCCATTTGCCATTTATGCGGCAATTTCTCGAGATGAATTTCTGAAACAGACGTGGGTTTATGTGCAGACCGACGTCTCCTTCTTCCGAGCAAGCTAGATTGATGGCGAATCTAGGGCAGTCTTCTTTGATCAAACCGTCGATGACGATGCAGGTGCCAGGAGTGAGATTCTCTGGAAGTTTGTCTGTGAACGGTGCGTGCAGGGTTTCGCAGAAACAGATGTTCCTGTCGCACTTGCATTCGACTTTTGCACATGTTCCTTTCCTTTTTGACTTTGCCTTGGATAGAATATGACAACGAGACATTCTGACATTGGCATCTAATACAGCGAGATGAAACAGTAGGTTTTTCCGTCTGCTCTTCAGTGTCGTGTAAAATGCACTACATCAGCTAAAATTCGTCAATATTCAAATTGATCGAAACCGAGTATTATCCTTGCTTGACACAGAACAAAATTGATATGAGGATTAAAGTTGGGCAAAGTCCAAACACGTGAGGTCTCCTGTGATGACAAGAAAAACTCACGAGGGTGCAACTTGATTTTGCCGGTAATCTCGATCTGAAAATCCTTCCTGAAGCTCCAGCAAGGGCACGATGCCAGAGGAAGCTTAACCTCGCCACTAATTGCTGCACGACCGTCTGAAGCTTTGGAGAATACTCTTCCAGATCATGGTAGTCCACCTTGAGAATCCTGAAGGATCCTTAAACCTGACCTGGATCTTTAGACATTCTGGAGGAAATATGAGGGGTTTCTTGGTGGTGATCAGGATGCTCATTCGGAAAGCTAGGTTTCTTGCCATTTGGAATGTTGCAATAGAAGTTACTCCTGGTAGGTACTTGCCATTTGCCATTTATGCGGCAATTCCTCTAGATGAATTTCTGGAACAAACGTGGGTTTATGTGCAGACCGACGTCTCCTTCTTCCGAGCAAGCTATATTGATCGCAAATTCAGGGAAAACTTCTTTGATCCATCCATCGATGACGATGCAGGTGCCAGGAGTGAGGTTATGTGGAGAATTGTCTGTGAACTGTCGCACTTGCATTCACGTTTTGCACATGTCCCTTTCTTTTTTGACTTTGCCTTGGACAGAATGTGATTACGAGACATCATGGCATTGACTGATTTAGAGATGAAATACTATGAAACCACAATATCAAATTCTCGGAATTCTTTTCAGATGACGTCCCATGCGAGCAAAATAGATAACCAACCCCAGGATGATCATTAGTCCTATTGGTTTGTGCTTATTCAACTTGCTAAACTTTTTTTTCACATTGTGCGATAAACGCAGAGAGATCTATCGAAATAAATCAGCATATTATTTTTATTTATCTCTTGGAAAGAACGAAAAGGAATCCCTATTATGCTGGTAGAACATCGTACGTACCTAGGAAGGATAGGAGAGAAGGTCGGTAGGTAGGTATTGAAATTTTTCTGAACTTGGAGATTAAAAGTTCTTGGAAATACAATGCATTTATGAAAAATTCCACAGTTTTGCAGAGTTCTATTGAGGTCTAGATCATGCATGAGAGACTGTATAGGAGTACAGTAAGTAGCTTTTTGCTAGGGATGAAATCCCGAGTTTTTGTGGAGCAGCTTTCTCGATGGATCTGACATAATTTTCTCATAAGAGTGTATTGCTGGTGGAAATTTTTCGAGCAAAGATATACTGAACTTTTTGGGAATGGTGGTACCAGACATTGTTATCTCAGGCATACTGAGAGAAATGCAGGCTCGAGTCTTGGTGGCGTTGAATTCAACTAGGTTGTTGGTAGTGGTTCTGAATGACAACCTAGTTAGGTGGTAAGTAGGTCGTCTACTTGGTTTTCATTAAGATCGACAATGCCCAGACTGCGTTCTTCGTGAGTTCTGGAATGCAATTGGAATTCAGGAAGAAAATGCAGAATGGAGAGTACTTTCATCTGCAAAGGTGTAATAGTGTGTTAATGCCAAAATTGAACCTTCTGGTGGAATCGACGGCTATGGTATCGGATGTCCACATGGAGCGATCTGGCTGCAAATAAACTTGATAAAAAAAGGCAAAGCTGGGGTGGTAAGCCGTATGAAGGAAGTTTTGTGGAGAAGCTCTTGGTGTCTAACACGGTCGAATGCTTTCCATATGAGTATCGAATGCCACAGCTAGAGATTCCCTATGTTTTTTCTTATGAAGCTTTCCATTTATGGGTAGCGTACGCCAGTAAAGCTTCTCAAACTCCGTACTCATTTGTTCATTTTAGTACAATACTACTGCAACTAGCATACCAAATCAAATCAAATATACGTTATTGTCAGAAGAAATGATATTCCCATGGACAAAGTCATCATACTTAGAAATAAGAATTGTAAAACATTAAGGTGTAATATACAAATAACAATTTCGAGATATTCACAACATAAGAAACACATAACATTAATATAAAAAATATATAAAATAAAGAGAGAGAGAAAGAGAGAACATCTTTATTAGGGATATACCCCAAAAGGCCATTGACCGAAGTCTTTCAGCCCTATAAAATAAATAAAAAGTGTATATGAGAAATAAAGGCATCAAAATGACAGGTACAATTAAAAGTTGAAATTTTCCCAAATAAAATTCATCTAACGAGTAGTAAGCTCTCTCCAGCAAAATATTCCTTACAGAACCTTTGGATATCTTGAAAGAAGTCAGCATTTTGATCTCGTCTGGCAAATGATTGAATATTTTTTTCCCATTATAAAAGATGGAGTTTTTGATTTGAGTAGTAGATGGTTTTGGTACCGATATATCCCTAGCCTTTCTTGTGTTATATAACGATTCGTTTTATTAGAATTTTCATTCATGTATTTACTGTGAATGAGACACACTGATTCCAAAATGAAGACACATGGCAGTGTCGATATTCTTTTTTTCAATAAACAATGGCTCACAAGAGTCTCTGAATTTAATTCATCATAAATACCTTCTGCTCTCTTTTGTAACACAAATATCATATCAAATAAAAATTGACTGCAACACCCCCAAAAACAAATTCCATATCTTAATTGGAAACCGATAAAAGCAAATATACCATTTTCGCCATATCTTTACCAAGTCCCCAAGATGTTGTTCTAACTGCAAAACACCCAGAGGCTAACTTTTTCCTCAATTTATCGATATGTTCTTCGAACCTTAATTTATCGTCAATGGGTAAACCCAAAAATTTTGTCACAGACTTATTTCTTATTACTTGATTACCAACTAACATACCTACCTACTGTCAAATATCCATTTTGTGGATTCATCGGTTATACCTGCTATATAGTTGGTTGATTACAATGTTTTTTGAGTTATCATCAAATAATCTCTTCAGAGAAATTTCGATAGAGTTTACCTTGTCGCTCCGAAAAACTAATCAGCTTTCATAGCGATTCATTATTTATAATCTTCGTTAATTAGGAACTGATAAAGCAAATTCATAAACTCGATATTCTGCTTGCTCACTCGTGCAGACACTTTAGATAAGGTAGGAACACAAAGGGGAGTTTCATGCTTTATTTACACAACATTTTGAACAATAGTTCGAGTGGGTATTTTCTTTGGCGGTTTCGGGAATTCTGTTTCAAATCGGGTTACTCTGGATGGATGGGTAGACCACAATCCTACATCGTGATCACAATGTAGTTAAGTATGCTGTTAATAACTACACATACAACCATACCAGGAGCTAATAAGTAATGGAAATAGACTAATGAGACCGAAGCGGCAAAGCACAATAGTTTGAATATTTAGCAGGAGTAGTATTGAGATGCATACATATCATAGAATGATTGTGAGAAACTAAATAATAGTTCAAAATGATACAATATACAGGGTGAATAATGATAAGGCAAACAAACTTCGTATACCATTTCCTCTCCTCATTTTGAAGTGAAATATTCCCATCAACGTATCAAGGTTTATGTATTAATTTCTTCGGGAATCGTACAGGAAAAAAAATTTAAATAACAAGGTATACTTTATCAGTATCTTCACATAGAGTTTCTATTCTTGAATTTTGATTACCGCAGTGAAATAGTTACGGTCGTATGTCGCCACATTTTCCTTAATATTTCTTTGACATATACATGATATTCACTGATGTATCATGAAATGTATCTTTGTACAATCAATGTTCTATGTCAGATGTAGTTCCATGATTTCATGATAGATTATGACGACAACAACGTCACTTGTCAGATGTGTGACATCGACAGAATAGGGGTTATGGGGATTGAGAGACAGGTGGATTAAAAGAATAAAACATGATGGCGCAGTCGGTACTGAAAACTCAATATGAAAATGATAGATTCAAGATCAATTAATGAAAACATCCTGTAACTCATTTTTATACCAACATCATCACTCATCCATAGGCCAACATCCGTATATGACACTGAGAAGTGTCAAACTAGAACAAATATTTCACATTTTTATGTTGGGATCAAGCAGATTCGTTCTTGAAACGTCCAAAGCTGAGTAAAAGTTCGATATTTTTTCAATATATCTATATATCTTCTCTTCAAACTTTTTTCGCTGCAACTTTGTTTATTTAGACAACATCCTGTATATTTCTTCAGTTAATCTCATTTGCCATGAAATTATCTTCTAGAAATCTATCACAAAGTGAGAACGACGCTCTGAAAATCCGGTTTTTCTAACAATTCCAGTGGTTTGATCTTGCAATAGATTCTGTAGCAACTTGACATGGTGATGACAACCTCTCCTACACGATTTGATCGCCAGAAAACATCACAATCGGTTTCCTGCTCCGAAATTTTCTTGCTCGTCAAAACTAGATTTTACTTTATTACTTGATGTCATAATTGTTGTTTGAGGACCAGATTGACAGGAACACAAAACCAATAGAAATTAGAGCATCAAATTATGCATTATCTTAATAAAACATGCATATTGCAGTAAAGCGTGTGACAATTCCAAAAAATTCTTTACAAGTATCGAGAAAACATGTGAAGCAATATGTTTTTGACCCCAAAAAAAAAGAAACATTTTTCTTCCAAACGGGAGGCGTTTGAAATTTTTGAAAAAATGCATAGCTATGATTATCATCCTGTATAGAATCTCATCCGGAAAGATGGAATAGTCAAATCCATAGGTTCGATAGTCAATGAAACGAGCTTTCAGAAACTGAGAAATAATTGAAAGTCGGTTGAGGTATTCGAAAGTTATGATGATTCAATTTTGATCGAAAAAATGCGATATTACGTTTCATGTGTTGAGCAGTTTAGATGAGTATGTCGACAAATTCCTTGTCCAATAGTTCCTTGAGGAGGAGAATTGAGTGTAGGAACTAATAAAGGAACTAACTTTGTTGTTTTCAT